ATTTATTTCAAATAATTATTTCCAAAACATTTAAAAATTTAAAAGAATAATAAAATAAACAAAAAGTCAAATTAAGCAAAATATTATTTAAGATATTATAATCTTAAATAAATAATTATATTATATATAATATTATATAATAATATAATATTATTCATTTATAAAATAATAGATTTAGATAAATTATATTTTTAATATAAGAAAAGTAATATTTAAGTATTACATATATACAACTTATTTTCAATAAATATATCACATAAAAAAATACTATTACATAAATACATATTATGATGTGTAATTATACTGGATTGAATTTTATTATTTAGTTTTGAATTATTTAATACTTTCTAATAATATAAATAAATCAATATCATGATACTATTACACATTACTATTATAAAAAAAATAATAAATAAATAAATAATTTTTTATTATTATTATTATATTATAATATTTATTATATGTTTTTAAAATAATATCTTACTTAATTTTAATTATAGATAAACAAAATAAAATTTTCATTTACTTACCAGTAGCAGCAGCAGCTTCACTACCTTCTTCATTTACTTCAATAAATGCTTTTTGTATAACTTTATTAATTTGTATATTTTCGTCACTAATTCCAGAAAAATTAGCATGTGAAGTAAATGCATCAATTAATCCCATCTATACAGAATAAAAATTAAAAGATTAAAACAAATTAAAACAAATATTTATTTTTATATAAATTACTGTGCTATTATTTAGAAATATTTATTTTTATATATTATTTGCATATCATACCTTCTTTAAAACACTATTAAGATGTATTTCACTTTCTACTTTGAATTTTGGTAAATATAATTGTATTTCTTGTTCATATCCTTGATTTAGAATATCAGATAATCTTATGTTTTGTAATTTTTTTTCAACTTCAGATAAACCATCAATTTCATTTGGAAGAATTATGATCATATTTAATTCATCGCCCTAAAGAACTTCTTTGTATAATTTTGTTTACATTTTTTTTTATTATAATAGATAATTATAATAAAAAATTATAAAATAAAAATTTTTTTCTATATATTTTCTATATATTACTGATTTTCTTAAATTTACCTTGTAAGGTATTACAATAAATTTAGCATTTAAATTAGCAAGTTCACCATATTTATATTTTCCTTGTTTATACATGGTAGGAACATTTTTTATTGTATCCTTATTAACATGAAATGGCATATCCTTAGTATAATCAGGATTGAATTTATTCTTCCATTGGCCTTTAAAATAAACTGCATTAACAAGTACTAATGTTGTCATTTCATTCAGATCACCTATTTAAAAAACATATTAATCAAACATATAAATCATTATAATTGAAATTAAAAATTATATTTTGAAATGTCATATTATACATTCAATTTTTCAAAACAAAAAATTTATAATACTTTTTTTATATTTTAATAAAATTATTTACAAACCAGCAGTTATAAGATCCTTAATGAGATTATTTGTATTTTGTTCAACCCATGTATTAATAATATTTGCTGCTTCCATGGACTTGGCAAAGTTTATTATTTGAGTAGCAGAACGGAAGTAATCTTTTGTCAAATCTTTAAAAATTGGTTTGACACCAAAATTTTCACCTACGAAAACTTTATTTGCAAGAAGCAGTTTATTTTCTTTAACATCCTATATTAAAATATGTATAAAGAATAATATAAATAAAATGATAATAAATAATGATAAAAATAAAAAATGATAATAAATAAGAATAAGCAAATTAAATATTACTAACATTAAGATTATCGATAAGTGTTTGATAACCAGACTTGGCAAGACTGTCTGAAGATGGAAGATGAAGTACATTTCTAAACTGGTTTTCTGTTTCTCCTTGAGCTCCATAAGCAGTCATAGCAAGAACAATATCTGCACTTAGAGGAGACATTATAAGATTGCCAGAATGTTCTTTTATTACAGCCTGAAAAAAATTTCATTCTTTCATCTATAGTTTATTAATAACTAACAATTTTTATAAGAATTAAAATTTTTAATTTGAATATTAATTTTGTAAAATATATTATTTACACAGTACAACATTTTTTTTACCTGAAATAGTGAAGAAGAGAATTGATTTGTGCTCTCTAAAACAGCACTTAATGCTTTATTTTCTGCTTTTGCCATTATTACTAGAGTAAAACTTAATAACCAAAAACTTCTTATCACTAGAAAAATTTATTAAAAAATTATTATTAAAAATTTTATTTATTTACAATTTAATTTATTTATTTTGAAATTATAACTTTTTTATTAGAAAGCAAATATTTAAATATAATAATAAACATTATATAAAATATTATATTATAAATTTATTATTAAGTTTTTTATTGCTATAAATAATTTTTAATATTTTTAAAATTTAATATAAAAATTTAATATAAAAATTTGAAATTTAAAAATTTATTATTNTATTTAATTGATACTTGATATATTTATATATTAATACATTTTAATACATTTTTATATTATATGATATCATAGAGAATCACTTTAAATTTTATTTTTAATATTATGTAATCATTATTCAATATCAAATATTTGGTAATGCAATATTATTATATTAAGAATTTTAAAATATAAAAAATTACATAAAGTATAGTGCTATATATATGTATATATAATTAATATACAAACAATATATATGTTTCATAAATATTCCAATATTTATTATGTATGATTTCAAGTTCAAAATTTAAAATAAAATTCACTATTTAAGAAGTTAACTTGATAAAAAAATATCAATTACATAATATGATTAATGAAAACCAAAATGAAAGTTTCTTAATAATGTCATTCTTAAAAAAAATATAATATAACAAAAATATAATAAAACAATCACAAATATAAAATTAAAATAATATTCAAATTGTTTATATAAATATATGAATAATTTTAATAATAAATTTATTGTATATTTTCAATGAAAAAAATATAAAATCATTTAATTATTACTAATTATATTAATTTGTAAATTTATCGTATTATTTTATGTTTATTATTTAATAGATTTTCTATGTAAATTATAAATATTTATTTTTTTTTAATTTTATATTAATACTCTACATTATTATATACTACAAAATTATATTATATAATAAATAATATCTTTA